TAACGCATCCGCAGCTGTTGTTAATGTCCATGGGCGGCGGCAATCACTTAACATCAGGTGAACCGCTCGCTCGCTTGCCAACCTTTCACATACAAAACCGACGCTTTTCAAGTAGTCCATCATTTATTATAATTTTGTAAAAGTATACATTTTGACAGAAACAATTATTTTCTGTTTATCGGACTTCACATATCTTCGAAATATTTATTATGTTTACTAGCTGACCCGGCAAACGTTGTTTTGACATATAAACTATTTGTTGGTTATAAATTGGTGGACCATCCTTAACATTTAAGGGGATGAAAAATAGATGTTGTCCGATTCTCCACCCTGGCGGATATGCACACAAAATTTCACGAAAATCGGTCGACCCATTTCGGAGGAGTTCAATTACAAACACAGTGACACGAGACTTTTATATATTAGATATCGTCACAATTATTTCCTACACCGCTGGGCGGGTGATAAGTCAGCCCTCAAAACTACAATTGATACTTTTATTGGTCCCGCACCGGGATTTGAACACAAGTTGCTCGAGTACAACGAATTAAAAACGAATCCCTGGGCTATCGCGGCTCACGCAAGACGGTTCTCCTTATAATTTGCATGTGTGCTACGGCCCTAACTTCTGCCTACAACTTAAATCGACAATTTCTGACTTTTAATTTATTGCCCAGCGCCTTGGATTCAAGGAATCGCGAGTAACGCCATCCCAGACACGTGAAACGATTTTTTTTTTTTTGCTGTCGTTGATGCATCTGAGAGATTCATCTTATTTCGCGAAGGCTAAATAGCCAGATATCATGTTATAACTTGAGTTTTTTTTAATTTAAAACAACAATCGATTGGCAACTGTTTCCACGCAAGTTTTATCAGAAGAAGTATTTATTATTACATTAAAATATGCAGAAGACACTCAATGTTAAGATTTTATTTGAACACATAAGATATATACATATATCCGGTGTTTAATTCGGCCTTTTGGTTGGTGGAGTAGAGATCTATTGTTTTAACTTTAAATTAACGTATAGATTAAGGATAAATATACATTACCCCATAGAATTTTTATATTGATAACATTTTTAAAACATTAAAGCATTATTGTTGTTTCCTTTAATGTTTAGCACACTTTCAAGCTTCCAACATCTTACTATTTCGCTGTTACCCTCCTGTAAGAAACATCTGAATCCAATATTGTAACAGAAAAAGGACTACAATATAGTTATCAGCTTTAATAAAGATTTTGTATCAACCCGATTGAATTAAGCAGCAATAACTTGCAAGGAAACATGTTTTACTATTAAAAGTGGTAACAACACTAATATGTTAAAATACTTGCTGTAGTTTAAACAGTTCAAGTAATAACAATTCAATGATCCAATCATCTGTCAATCATGTATTATGTGAGTATTATGGAGCTAATGTCAAATACTGCTTTCAATATTCTATCTGTAGATTTGGTAACTAGAGATAGGCAAGTATTTTGACGGATTATGGAGCTGATCATATACCTATCGCTAGTAACCAAACCTACAGATAGATAGAATATTGAAAGCGGCCGTCGCTTTAACATATGGAAAAATCACAAAGCTTTCATATCCGAGGCGATCTATTTAGCCCTAAGGATGGGCCAAGTGCGCGTGTAGTAGTCTGCCGCGTTTCTTTCCGATAAAATCAATTAGGAAATTGCGCGAGACACTCGCTTGTCGCGTGATGCCATCGCACTCTTGGCAAAACTTCAAAGTACTTTATATTATACTGAAATGGGCATAACGGACATCGGCTGACATACTGGCGGCCTGAATGGGAGGCTCTAGAGATTTAATTGACTTGAATTAGGAAAAATTGACTTTCTTTTGTAGTTAAAATTCTTATTCTAACACATAAAAAAAGGCTCATATGCATGGTTGCTACCCGATAAAGATCTTATTCGGGACTAGCTGATATCCGCTACTTTTTTTTCTTTTTTTAATAAAACGTTGCCCCCTTTATAACGTAATACTGTGTTATAAGGGCGTTTTACAAACATAAATTTCACGCGGACAAACATCCAGATGCGAAACAACTATCTGCGGGTCACACAAATAGTTGTACCGTGTGGGAATCGAACCCCACGACCCCCGACGCGGAAGCCAATACTTTGGCAACTGCGCCACGGAGTCATCATCAACAACGTAGACTAATGCCCATTTTCCGAAAGGCCAATCAAAGCAGCAATCACGTAACACTATGTCAAAAATGATCAGCTGTTAATCTCTTGTTAAACTGGCTTGGGTTTCTGGAAGGTTTGTTCAAGAAAAATTAGCTAATCACTGTATAACCAATGATAATGAATGAAATGAATGATTTACTTCAACTAACACTTTCTATTGTATAGCTGTCCCTTTTTAAACAAAACTTAAAATAACGTCCTGTCACCGTGTGATTGCCAACGTAAAAATCCGCTAGCTAAAGCTATAATAAAATTTTATTTATATAAATACATGCAATATGTCAAGAAAAAACTTAAAAAAATTAACTTTTATCCATAATAAACAAGTAAGTATTATAAAAAGAAAGAATCCATATTATTTATTAACTTTTGAATTACATTTTGTATTTTTTCTAATCGCATGATATGTTCGCATCATAATAAATAGGTAATAGAACACATGAATGTCCTTACAACGTATTAGGGAATTATATTTATTTTTAATAAAACTAAGATTTTTGATAAAATACATTTTTAACCAACTATTGATCGTCCAAATTGACAGATTACTTAATAAAACAGCTCGTTGACCACCGAAAAACGCTTTCAGAAATTCGATTTTCTGTTGATTGTCCGTTAATCAGTGACTAATTGCAAATCAAAATCAATGTTGTTTTTAGACGTTCTAGCAACTCAGATCATGTTAAACAACGATTGACAAGAGATTTATCGTAAATTAAAATTGATTGCGCTTTCGGAAACTGAGTGAAGTTCGTATTATATTAATAACACTTGCCACTGCTCCGCGGCAAGAAATTACACATCACTGAACACGTAGTGTTTATAGAAATCATTGTTCCTTATAATACATTTTCATTAAAAACACTTTTGCGTATATCAGACTAATCATTTTAAAGCTATTATTTAGTTAAAACATTCTTCTATATTCTATGACTCAACCTTTGTTACTAATCCAGGGTAGTACCGTACAAAGACAGTAACGAGACATCGCTAACGTTTTGCGAGCTGTAAGGCCAATTAATCGCTGGTACAACCAATTACCCATTAGAGTAACTGTCAGTTAAATTAAACGTTCAATTGCAGATCCACTTAAAGTGTATCTTTTTGGTTTTCTTTAAATAGCAAAGCATCGATTCATGTCGTGTTGACCAGAATATGAAAAAGTTATCTTTTTTATTCGCAAATGTCTTTTCCTAGCAATTATTTTGCACCCTATTTTCCATGTTTATAACACAAGCACATCGAGGTAGAAAAGAAAAAAACAATGAATTTTAAGTGATTATAATCAATAACAGCCACAATATTCAGCAATATATCGTATATGAATATAAAATGTACGATATTTAATTACTATTACAGTGATAAGTTGATTAACACATAAAAATATAGTTTTTTCAAATTAATAAATTCTTATTTTACACGCAGCTTACTCATTTAAAAATTAATAAAACCACATTGCTCGAGTTTATAAAGTAATATGTACAGTGACTTGCAATCTAATACTAAAATTAATATAAGAAAACGGCAGCACCACTCCCGCGTCCTATCAAACCCTGTGATAATTATTACCCTATATCATACAAAAGTATTAAAGACACGAAAGATATTTTTTCCTGTTCGTAATAAAGAAGTTAATCGCTCGATCAACATCATGCTCATAAAATCAATTGGAAATTGTATAAAATTGTTGAAAATCATATAAAACAAGAGCATTTTACAAATAAATCAACTAATACATTATTTTTCAGTGATTTTGATGTAATTATACATATTTTCTTTAATCAAAACAATTATTTACATAATGAAAATTAAGATTAGTTTATATTTTATTATATTTATAATCTAATCAGCATAAAACAGTAACAAGTGTCTAATACTTCCTTCTACCACAAACACAACGTGACCCCCGGTTCTTAGACTTTTTATAAAAGAAAAAATCATCGAACCAGGTTCTTTTGCTGACACGAAATCGTGAGGCCGAAGAATTATACACATAGAACAGACGTAAAAGTACTTTGTCACATGTGACGGGCACCAAAGGGGTACCAGAAAATAAACGTACGCTCGGTTTCTGAAACACATCAACGTAGAAGTTAACTAATCAACTGTCAAATGGCTTTTCAAATGTTATTTGAGTTGCCAAAAGGATTGTTAAACTCATTGAATTGACCATTCTGATCATTAAGAGATCTTAACAATCCTTTTGACAACTTAACATACACATTTGAAAAGCCATTTGACAACTGATTACTTAACTTCTACGGTAATCAGTGTTTCAGAAACCGGGCGGTATTCTTCTAATTTATTCCCAAAGATGTTATATACAGAGGTATTTGTACAAAAGAATAGCAATGTCGCAAATACAATTTTACTTGAATATTCAAGTGATGTTTTTATTTTAACTTAACCGATACTTTTGCGACATTGCCATTTGATTGTAGTAGTAACTGATGTAAATGGGAAGAGAAAGAAGAAAGTAGAAGATAGGGAATGAGACAGAGAGGAAGAGGCCGCAGAATTTCATTTATAAGTCCAACAATTTCTCTAACCTAACTAAACCACTGTGGTAGAAGGAAATATATTTATTTAATAATAATATGTAAATTACGTTTTGCAAGCTAGTGATAAAAGTATATATATATATATATATATATATATATATATATATATGTGTGTGTGTGTATAATTTCTAGTATGGCAAGCTACTGTACATGATATTTTTTTTCTATTAAGGCATGTGATTTTGTACATGGTGTAACTGGTATCATATAGCATTTGGTTCGTTTCAGACTTCCCCAAATCTACTCAAATCCATTGACGGTATCAAGGGACTGTCGCAAGGTATGGGCTCGTTTCTGCAAAGGAATAATATATACTGAATGCATGATTTAATATAAACATTGTAATTTAAAATTTTCCCGAGCTAATCTCCGCTAATGCAAAAAAAAACATAAGATTAACAGTGGTAGGGCCTCACAGCAGCCTCGGCTGCTGCACGAATGGTCACGCTCGTTCGGGTAGGTACCACTATCTCACAGAAGACCGGTGTAAAGTGGAAGTATAATACTTTAGCGTTTCGTCTGGTGAGCGAGGTAGCCGGAGCCCAATTTTCAAAAGGTTGTCAACACATCTGCAACCCTCGGGTGTAGCAGATGTCCATGGGCGGCGATATTCACTTAACATCAGGTGGATTATCCTGCTCGTTTGGCAAGATGTCATATAAAAAAAAATTAAATGCGATATTCGCCGGTGAGTATAATAGATTAGATTTTTTAGGTAATACATTGTCAAATCCTCTTACCCGGCCAAATCCGATCTTAAGAAGGCATTTGGAGACTGAACAATGAATTCAGTCCCGTCTCTATTATCACAGAGTATTCTTGCAAATGAAACCTTCTTTATTTCTGCAAGTTGACCTATAACGGGAAAAATCAATACTTAATTATTCGAAATTATGTGATCTTGGATTTTACTCTGTATTAGCGATCGATTCTTATTTTCGTATTTTACCTATTAGGTTTTTAAAAAAATTAAAGATTGAAAATAATATTAAGTCAATATTTAAACTAAATTTTTTTATAAGTTATTAAAATTCAGCGGCCCTTTTATTTTTTGTTTTTCAGTTGATCGCCAGTTCTTACAACTAACTGCACCGTTAGTGTTACTATACTAAACTGTTACGAATGTATTACTGTTAAAAATGCTATCCAGCCCAAAATCTCATAATGCTGTAAAATGATAATTTCTTGTATTTGCGCGATTACACATTAATAAATGAAACGTAATAAATAACTATTTTTTACGGGGACAGACTTAACCTGTGACCATAAACGCTGAAATGGGTTCGAAACAGCAAAAATCAAAATTAAAAATAAACGCGATATATCCGTAAAATGATAAGGGACATGAAGAAAATTGTTTTCAAAATCCTTCTTTAAGTGCAAGATTTCAAAATATGATTAACCTTTGCTGCGTGGACCAGAATAAAATTTATAATTTTCCAACTTTTAATGACATTAGGACGTAAACATCTCAGTCAAGCCAGTCAGACCATGAATGTTATAAAGTATTCGAAACTTCCGACAAAAAGAATATAATGAAATACGTAAAGGATCTTATGGAAATTATCTGACGGTCTTCTTATTCAACAGCGAATGGCATATTCAGTTGTATTCTATACTATACAACGAGATATCTCTGTTTGTCTATATCCATTTGTGACTTTTTGGAATGAAATTATCTTTCTATTACTTTGGTATTTTAGTATTTGTTTACTATAAATAAATAAATGTGTAGACTCCACGCGAGTGGATAATGAGCGGAACTATTATAAGCCGTTCTTACTTGGAGTGAAGGCGCCAGGGTTTGTATCTGGCCCGTGCTCATAGAAATATCGATCACCCCTCCTTAGCTTCGCGAACTGGTCTGCGAGGATCTGGGCAAAGGTCTCCCCGACCACCCCGCCCTCGACTGGTGCCTCCAACAGTCCACCGATCCAAAGGTCCACATCTTCCGGAGTGCCGTACACCGAAGACAAACGCTGAGCGGCCTGTTGTAGATAAAATTTCTATAAATAGGAGATACCATCTATAATCTCTGAAAATTGGTATCTGCAATTAATCCAAGTAACTGAATATCCAACTCGGACAGTTCAGACTTATTATAAGCGAGTATTATGGGGAATTGTTCGGATCAATTCCCGGTGCTGCTTTACCACCGTTAGCCGCGACCAGAAATACCATAAACTCTACTAATATCCTGATAGTTGTTAGATGCTATGCTCTTGAAAGATTTGCACTATCACGCACTAATACTCGTAGTTCGTGTACTAGTTTTTCGATACGAAAAAGGGACCCTCAAAACAAGTTTATTCTTAGTACATAGAAAACAAATAAGCATGGTCGCCGTTTCTCGGTTACCATCAAGTGAGACATTTCTTACCTCTCACGGAAAGAAGTTAGCCATTAAATATCTCAGCTTTCTCTAGAACTTAGATTCAACGGCATGTAACCGATACACTAAAACTTATAACCATCTAGATTTATTTATTTTTATTATTTATTTATAGATTTAGATACAGTTTCCGCCGCCCATATGATTATTTAATATATATAAAGAAAAATGTTTAAAATAGAGTTACGTAAATATTTTATCAGCTTATCGTAAACTGCTCCGAGTTGGAAAGATATGTTAAAGCACCCTTAATATTTGGTTAGAGTAGTACAAATTTAATGTTAAGACTTACAATGGGGCTGTACTGCTTGAAGTCGATGAATGGTTCCAAGCCGCAGAGTCTTCTGTAGTGGTTGTAAGAGCGTACACCGTGATCACGACCTCGCTGCAGGTTGATGGCTGCCAGGTCCAAACCGTAGGGGTTTCCACCGCGGAACATGTACCGCGACAGCTGACATGATTATACATGCTGATGAAAATTCATAATAACCTCTTTGTTGTGCCAACTAACGGCCAACACTACACAAGTTTACTTTAAAAAAAAAAAGCTTAAATAAGACAACAACTAATCCAAGTTCTTTTTTTAAAGAATTCTTTTTGAAGTTTTCAACAATATCTCAAGCTTGCAAGGTTTCCATAATTTTTAAACCATCCAATCCAAAGATACAAATTATTTGTCAGTTATTAAAAATATCCGCACAACGTGAGCATGCAACGTTTTTAGTTCATTCCGGTCCATTCCTGTTGGGAGTTACAGCTTGACGCACACCTACTTACCCCCTCTGTAACGAACGGATCGACTGACTGCATCGGTTGCATTGACACGCCAATAATCAACCTGTCCAGAAAATGCATCAGGCGCAGTCTAGAAGGCTGGAACATTATTTCCGGTATCGATATCGCCTCGTAAATGTCACCATCTCGTGGATTTGGGATACTGAAATCAATTATTGTAGTCAAATTTTGAAAAGTTCGTTAACAAATTTGAAGCCTGGAGGGTAATTCTGAATAATAGAACGGCAAATGCAAGAAACATTATTTCCTATTAGAATTTAACTTTTTTTGAGCATGTAGAACTAACTGTGCAGGGTCTTGTGGCATGCAATCTAAACATTAATCTGTGTAGAGCCAATTCGGCATGGCAGGGTCACGCAGCAGCTCGTGCTGTTGCAAGAATGGGCAGGCTCGTCCGCGGCAGTACCACGGCCTCTCAGCAAAGTGATGTAAAGTGGAAGTGTATACTTTTGCGTTTTGTTTTCTTAGTGGGGAACAGAAGTCCAATGCTTCGACAGTTGGATACGCATTTTCTGCCCCAACGGAGTATATGTAAATTTGCAGCAGTAATAATTAACACCAAATGAACCGCCTGCTCGCTCATAAACCTCTCATATAAAACATTTTACACACCAAATCTCTTTTAAAATTTAACGACACCGCTCCTGATCCGAGTTTAAATCAACTCAGAAACAACTGCTTAACTGGAAAACGTTATCAATTCAATTCTCACATGACTTTCCCGTCGACAACGGAGTGACCGAAGCGCATTGCGGCGGAGGAGAATTCGGCCGTCACCGATGGATTCACCCGAGGGTCGTAGTCTTTCGAGTATCCAGTTGCTGGTAAGAGTTGGAACAGCTGCACGATACGAGGACCTGTGACCCAAATGCATAAAAATTTATAAATCCTCCAATTATACTCCTCCAATACAACAGACATGATTTCCGTTTTTATAGATATTTGTACGGAACCCTTCGTGCGTGAGTCCAACTAACACTTTTTTTTACGGTTTTTACATTATTATTTAGGCAGCATTAAACTATCTTACTTTTTTACCTGGATGGTGATAAGTCTTAGTAAGGCTCAGCTAATAGTAATCAGGTCTCTCACCTAATAGCAAAGGCAGCCACTCCTTATAAATTACATTCTGGAACTCAGCCTGCAATATCCTTCTGGTCTCCTGGAATACTGTGTCCTCGCTCCAGTTAGGGTTTAGTCGGGACAGAGTCCTCGCTACACGATTGTGCTCCCTTGTCCATATTGTGTGCAGTGCTGTGAGTGATATAACTTGGTTTCCATGATTGTCGCCTGTAAAACTCTTAATTATTAATACCAAAATAGTTACGATCTCTTAGATTCATTCATGCGAATATAATAGACGATGCATTTGAAAAATATTTGGATTTCATCGCTATTTATTTAAATTTTTGTTTGAAATTATAAACCTATATGAAATTCTCATAATGCCAGCCTATTTCTTACAGCCATGTTCAATTGATCTTGTTCATGTATTTTATTTTTACTTATTCATGAAATTTTCTACAAAATTTCAATTTTAGTAAATACTTTTGGAATTACATAATTATTTGCAAGCTTCCAAATATTTTTGTAAATACTTTACAATAAATAAAAGTGTATAACGGACTTTTTTATACTATTATTTATTTATTTATTTATATACAATTAGTACTCTAATTTGAGTTCGATAGGTAGCCTTCGAATAAATTAGTTTTACTACCGCCTTTATTTGCAACTACTTTGAAGGTTATTTTTCTAAATCTTTAGTTACATCACCTGAGTCGAAACATGGAGCTCCTTTAACACTCAGGCATTCGCTTCTGTCGGTAGTTGGAGGCAGGTCTCGTCCGTAATCATTAAACACTTTGAGCAGTCCCCCCGGTGCTTTCAATGAGTCAAGCTTATCAGCTGTACTCCCGTAAAGATGTGATAAGTCAGGGAAATGTGTTGCGCCATTCATCTAGAAATAAATATGACGCACTCACAAATCTTTACTTAAATCACCTATTTACAATTTTTTGTACACCATTACAAGCTAATTTTTACACACAACAACATTTCCCTTAGGTCGGCGACATCAAATTGTGACCACATCACAGAGCTTGAACCATAACAGAAGGTATCAATAAATATAGAGGTTTGTCTTTGATCTTCAATACAAATATTTTTGCCGTTTGAAATTGAACTACCACTAAAAGCAAAGTTCATCATCGCTGAACATAGACCTCCCCCATAGATTGCCACGGAGCACGATCCAAAGCCATCTGCATCCATCAAATTCACGCACATTTGCACAGATCGTCACTCCATCTAGTGGTGTTGTCACTCCATCGCAATGTAGGACGACCGTTCTACACTGCGATGGCCAGTACGAGCCTCTCAAGAACCTTTCTTTCCCACCGGTTATCGGTTCTCCGACGACCTCCGCAGTAGAACAAAGCTAATCGACATAGCTCAGAAGATTAGCAAGCTGAAGTGGCGTTGGGCCGTCCATATAGCTCGTAGAAGCAAACTTTACTGTCGTGAATGTCTATGTGTGTAATTTCTTAAAATTTTAACATATGTACCATGTCATGCAAAAGAAAATTCTACACTTCAATTTTACGATTTGCCCGTTTGGTAAGCTAAGATACTATGCCACGTTTTTCACAATTGTGTTGCCGGCCTTTGAGTAGGCTCTCTTCTTGAGGATCCCTTAGTCGTATCGGTCCGGAAAGACCACCAGCGACAACCAAAGTATCTGTCTCACGTTACCTGCTTCGCATATCCCACAGAGCAATCAGCAGCCGCCGTCAGTTGCGTCCTCACAAAGTTCATGCAGCGTTGGCGGAAGTGGCTGTAGAACGGGTCATTGGGCTCAATTTCGATGGGGGCGCATGCCCAGTGCCGCCGATCCTCTGGCATCGTTTCACGACCTTCGCCGACGCAGCATGAGATCGGTTTGCCGTCACCTCAACATTAAAAGCAATTAAATAATTAGAAGTTGTTTAAAAGAAATACTTTATGGCGATATGTATAGCGACACCAATTTTATGTTTTACTACGAGCTGGCTAATATTTCATATCTCATGATGATCCATATAGGCATAGTAGCAGAAGAATAACGTTATATTAATTGTAGCCCTTTCCTGGTCACATCATGTTCCGTTCCACTAGTGTGTAAAGATGTTCACGCGTTTACACGGAGTGGGGTTTATTTCATAAATACTATTTATATCACAAATCCTACTCGTACTTAAATATTTGGATTAGAATAAATCACAGTGAAACTGCCTAGATCACAATATAATGTACTGAAGATAAACAACCGACAGTTTTGAATGCAGTACATCATTAAAAAGAATTATTATTTAGAGGGTCAACTTGACAAACCACACTATAATGACGGTGATAGTGTGGTGTGTAAAGGTGACCCTGTTAAGTCTTACTTAAATATAAACTCAAAAAGGATTCCCATCCATTTCTCAGACTTAATATTTTGGAGGTACGTATGGCTTCCATATATTATAAAAATATGGGAACAATTAGAGATCGAGACTAATTCCAGGAGTACTTTCGTTGTTAAACAAATTGATTGGTTTTGTCTCATAGACAGTGCCAAAACGGTCCTATTTAACTTCTGAGAATAACATATTACCTATTTGGCGTGATAAACAAGTAATTATTCTTCGTTTCATTAAGATAAACTCACCCATTGTAAAGACGGTCCCGGCGCTGACGTCATGGGCGATGAACTGTCCGAACTGCATGAACATCATGTTGAGTGTGCGACTCGGGCGGCTGCCTTCTGCCAGCACACGTTGGCTGACGGCCCTGGCACTTGGCAACGGGAGCCGCGAAGTTGAAGTTCTCATGGCCCATATTCCTAGTGCATACCAAACATTTTCACATTATTTTCTTTTATTAAACTGCACGTGCTCTATCCTAATAATAAGACGGCTGAACTCACGTAAGCCCGGTGTATGTACAGACTAGTTTCCGACTCATCGGAGGTCCTTCATCAGGGTCCTTCTTCCTCGCACACCGGGTTTACGTCAGTTCAGCCGTCTTATTATTACTTTAATAATGCCTCACGAAAGTTTTAGTACGAGCTTTATGATTAACCGCACATTAATTACTGAAATGAAAAAAAAAATGCGAAAATTTAATCCATCGATGTTTTTAAAAACTTTATATAGACACTAGCGGACCCGACAGACGTTGTCCTGTACACATACCTAAATCCGACAACTTATAAATTTAAAATAATAAAATAAAGTTGTACTGTCCCGAATTGTGAATCTAATCCATTAGCGAATCGACTTGAAGACACATAAAAAATGTCATTAAAATCGGTCCAGCCGTTTAGGAGGAGTTCAGTAACATACACACGAACAGAAGAATTATGTATATAAAGGTGTATACGACACATACTATAATATGAATGTGTTTTATTTTCATTAAAGCTACTCAAGTATTTTGATGCTGGATGCGTTTGTTGCCTTGGCTTTTTCATGTGTACATTAATTATTTTTTTTGTACAAAAAAAATAATATACTTCAAGTTATAAAAAAAATTATGTAGCCCTTATGTCTGGTAATACTTTTAACGATAACAATAGTTTTCCCTTTGAATCTTATCATTTAAGAAACAGCAGAAACTGCTGTTTCTTAAATGATAAGATGCAGAGCACGAGGGATCTGTGACAAGGAACACCTGGCCGCTGAGCTACACAATGTCAAGCAAGTGCTGCGTGACAACAAGCTCCAAATCCCGCGCCTGCGTCACAGTGACCGAGTGAAACCGGCCACAGCCGAGCGAGTGCCTGCTGTAATGTCATATGTCAGAGGAGTCACTGACAAGATTGGCTATATCTTGAAGCGTGTTTCAATTAAAACATATTTCAAGCCACCGAAGAAGATAAGTCAATTTTTACCATCTGTCAAGTGTAATATCCCTCTACGAGATCCAGGAGTGTACAAGCTTGACTGCGATTGTGGGCTCTCTTACATAGGACAAACAAAACGATCAATTAAAACCAGAGTTAAAGAACACATAGCTGACATGAAGCACCGACGGTTGAAGAAGTCTGCAGTTTGTGATCATATTTTAGACCGCCCCAACCACTACATTAGATTTGATCAACCGAAAATCCTCGCAAAAGAACACCGATTCCTTCCAAGGATGATCCGCGAGGCTATTGAAATAAAGAAACATCCTAATTTCAATAGAGAAGATGGTTGGAGTTTATCATCTGCTTGGGATCCCATAGTTTATAAAATTAAATCCAAGCACACCAACACTGCCAGACCTCAAGATACCATAAGCTCCTTCTGCGTGGATCGGAATAAAAATAAACAAAATAATTGACGGTAGCCGGGGTTAACTATGACATCAAGACGTCTAACAACTTAGTCTGTCCCGTGACCATGAACGCTGGAAAGGGTTCGAAACGTCGGGAATTTAAATTAAAATAAAAAACGCGATAAAATCCGTAAAGTAGTTTCATTTAATATGTATAATATTCGCGTAAAATCAAGAAAACAATAAGCAGAAACTGCTGTATGGCACACCACAGTTATTGTTCCTGTATCTCAGTTCCTCTCCCTTTCTGTTTATCTCTTTATTCTTTTACATTTGCCCTTTCCTGTTCCGCTTTTTCTTTCGAATTATAATAGGAGAAATTAATATTAAACTTACCGTCACTGTAATCCGGAGGAAGTAGCCTTTCGAAGCCCGTGTTGGCAGCTCCCCAGCTCGGGTTCCTAACGTTATTGCATTCCCCACCTAGTGTTCTGTACCGGCTTGGAGTCGTAGGACAAATCGATTGTGGTGGGCAAAATGGGCCTAGCAAAATCATATCATACACAGTTCATCTAAGAAATACCATGTTGTTTAAGAAATAAATTTTGAAATTTCAATTTTTACCTGAAGACTTAATTTTGCGCAATCATATTTACACACAATTTATAGCAACAATCTGACTTTATTGGCTTGAAGAGAATTAAAAAGAAGTTATTAGTTAACAGTTAAAAGTTATAAGTTAAGTAGCTCAACCAATATGTGGCCAGTTAATATAATAAGTTTCTTCACATATAAAATGCCAAAAAACTTTTTCCCCAACCTAATATGTAGACTATGTATAAAAAAAAAAATTTTCTTAAAGAGTAAACTATTCCCTCGCTCACAAAAGGAAGAGATACGAAATTAGACGTGTGGTATATTTCATATGGATCGATAATACATGTAAATCTAGAATTTTACCATACCGTCGGTATGATCGGTGAGTCCCAGAGCCAATTCACGATCGTCTATCGCCTGGCGAGACTTCAACTCTTGTGTTGCGAAAAGATTGAGGAAGGCGCCGCGTCCCAACTCTTCTACTCGACCGTCATACGTCACCATCGACTATTAAGAAAAGTCTTTATTATAATGAGAAGAATAATTTATTCATTTATTTATTACACATATCTATATAGAGTATAAATTTTTTTGCGAAAAGTTGTCAAACGAGCAGACGGTTCACCTGATGTTAAGTGAATACCGCCGCCCATGGACATCTGCTACACCCGAGGGTTGCAGATGCGTTGGCAACCATTTGGAAAAATGGGCTCCGGCTACCTCACTCACCAGACGAAACGCGAAAGTATTTGTCATACTTCCACTTTACGCTGGTCTTCTGTGAGGTCGTGGTACTTACCCGGACGGGCCTACCCATTCGTGCAACAGCTGAGGCTGCTGCGTGGCCCTACCACCGTAAAAAATACGTGTTAAGAAATAAAATAAAAATATTATATGTACACGAATGACAGGTTTGTACAACCTTTACAATTATCGCACATAATTATTAAATTAGAAGAGAATACAAATTGCCGTCAACAAATACCTGTACCTGTAGAAATATTTATTTTAAATATAGCAATGGGAAATTTAAATTAAAATTGCTGATACAAAACCAGCAGGCGTGATATTTTTATAATATTGTAATTGAAAAAAAATACAAAAAAATTACCAGATGATGGCCGTAACTAGGCGATGAGACATTAACAATCGCGTTATACTCTTCATATAACTTCTCTGCCACTCTGAACCATTCTGCAACTTTTTTCCGAGAGAGCTGGTGAGATTCCTTCACGTCATCAACGCTAATGGCGGACGAGCGCAACTTGCGATCAGCTTCGGCTACAGATTGAAACAAGAAAAATCAATTCAATGGAATTCTTATACTTTTTATATATTTCAAAGTATCTTTATAGGGTTCCGTTCCCAAAGGGTAAAACGGGACAATATTACGAAGTTTCCGCTGACTGTCTGTCTGTCTGTCCGTCTGTCTGTCCGAATGTCTGTCTGTCTATCTGTCTGTCTCTCTGTCTGTCCATCTGTCACCAGGACATCATGAACCGTGATAGTAAGACAGTAGAAATTTTCACAGATGATGTATTTCTGTTGCCGCTGCAACAACAGATACCTACTGGAGTGATAAGTGGGAGCTCCCATATGACAGACATGATTTTTTTTTGCCGGTTTTATAGATAATCTTACAGAAACCTTCGTATGCGAGTCCGACTCACACTGGGCTGGTTTTTGACGATCAAAGCTTAAAAAAAAAGGATAAATTGAATAAAGAAATTTTGACTTTGACTTTGAAGAGGCGTTCGGTAAAAGTGAAATATTTTTGGCTATCGCTTTACTTTGGAATTTTATTTTACACAGCAAAGGGACGGTGGCTCACCTGCATGGTGGTGTCCTGTGAAGCAGCACACTCCGATGGTATCGGTCCCTTGTAGATGGCAAAGCGGATTGCTGGAGCCGGGCCTCAAATGCGCTGGACACTGGACCCTTGGGACACAGACACCTCCACGAGGGCACACGGCACAAGGCGGCTCCGTGGTGTGTGTGTGCTCTGTGATCAAATATTGATATATTTAATATTTCTTTGATTAGAAACTTTTTAATTGGTAAAATTTGATATTTTCGTTCATGAAGAAAGCTTAGGAGTTACCAACTGCTTTATTGCGGTTTCATCTTATCCATCAAATCTCTAGTTAGTTTACATTAAAGTATTTTATCCAGTTTCAATTGATTTTTTCGATTCGCAACACTTCTAAAATGGACAGGTGTTTCAAACGAGCCGTGATGTTGTAAATATTTACCCAAACGAAACTTTCATCACCATTGAATTCCTGACTGAAAAACGTTACATCAAAGATATTTTTACGACCATTACATTTCATCTCACCAATTAATGTATACTGTTTCGAGTACAATTTCTTAACTGAAACATCTATTCACTCACCACCATTCTCCTCGTAAAGTTCTTCTGCAATTTTTCCACGTGCATGACACCGAATCTCCAGTAATGGACATACCACGACCACGTACACGAATATATGTAGCACAGATTTCAAAGAAAGCATACTGAATTTTGTTTTAAACCCGTTCAAAACTTCACATAGTTTATGGATGCGTCGACTGCTGGCAAGCGTCGGTTCAAATGAACGATAAAACTCATTTCTTTTATAATCTGCGCACTGTTGAGGGTAGATGAGAATGTGAGGAAAGTAAAATTTGACGTTACTCAAATTAACTCTTACGAAATTAAAAATTGTATTGTTAAATAAGAGTAACTTTTTAGAAGAGTTTAATTTTGTTATTAATAACCATCGAAGTTTCGATCCTTTCGCGTAATTTCCCATGGTAACAGGACAGACTATCCGTATCCGTAAAATTACTACTTTAATATCTCTAAAATTACTGTTCAAATTTCATTTTACGGTAGTAATTATTCATATTGATCCATTTCATAATATAAGACCTTAAGTAATTGAAAGTTATAACCTCCCCTCATGGTGGAAGTCCGAAATGTGCGGCACCCAGTCCCCGGCCGCCCTGCTATTTCTAAAATTATACGCACTTAGAAATAATCTTAAAACTGCCATTGTTTAAGTATCTGTGGAATTAAGGGCAATTTTGTTTATTTTTTTTTTTTTGCTTTAAAAGAAACGTTGGCAAGCGAGCAGAATTTTCATTTGACATTTAATGTTTACCGCCGCCCATGAGTATCTCACAAAACCTGGTGGGTTGGAGGTGCAAAGTCAACCAATAAAAAGGGCCCCGACTACCACACTCATCAGACGAAACTTATTTACTTTACATCTAATGCTTTCACTTCACGCAGTTCTTCGGTGTGATCATGATGGTTCCCTGTGGGCTAACATGATTCACAAACCGGCCAAGTGCGAGTCGGACTCGGGCACTAAGGGTTCAGTACCATCACTACATAGTATAAAACAAAGTCGTCCCGCTGTCTGTCTGTCCCTATGTCTGCTTAGATCTTGAAAACTACGCAGCGGATCTTGATACTGTTTTTTTTACTAGATAGAGTGATCCAATAGGAAGGTTTATATGTATCCGCAAACGTGCGAATCCGGTGCGGGTCGCTAGTTATCTATAAAATGTAAAAAAAATCATGTTTGTTGTATAGAAGACCCACTTAAATATTTCTTTATTGTTTTTAGTTAATGTTATAGCGACAACAGAAATACACAATCTGTGAAAATTTCAACTGTCTAACTATCACGGTTCATGAGATACAGCCTTGTTACAGACGGAAAGATAGACCGACAGACAGCGGAGTCTTATACTATTTACCCTTTGGGTACTGAACTCTAAAGATGAAGCCATTAGATCAGAAAGAAAAATCTCTGAAGGGAAAAATAGACTTAAGATTAATTTCTAATTACTTCAATAAATATATAATTAAAGCAAACTGATCTATAATGCATATTTTTCTTCCATTAAGTATAAGAATATAATTACAAAAAGGTTTAAGAATAGAATCTCATCATTTTCTTAAAACATCTCCGTTTATTCTTTAATAATTCCGTCTACGTGACATCACCTTATATCAAATTGTGTACAAATCCTTACTAATATTATAAAGGCGAAAGTTTATATGTATGGCTGGATGTTTGTCACTCTTTCAAGCAAATACTACTGAATGGATTTTAATGAAACTACAGTATTATAGCTTATACATCAGAATAAGACATAGGCTTTTCTGTCTTATCTTTATCTTTCTGTCTTAATGTTACTTACACCTAGCTTGTTGCTGCTTACTCTAGCCACTAAGCTAAACGGCTGATTGGCATACCAAGGAAAATCTCAACGTCCTATATCTACATTGTTTCAGCATTTGAAGCAATGCTTGGCGCATCCATTGTTATATCCTTTCCAGCATACAACTAACTTTGTTTTGAGAATTTTTTTTTTTTTTATAGTACGGAACAAGTATTTGTGTGACCCACAGATAGTTGTTTCGCATCTGAGTGTTTGTCCGTGTGAAATTATGTTTAAAAGTAAAAAAAAATAATGTTATTCTAATGTAAGGGCAATGTTATCAAAAAAAATCAGAAATCGTGGCAAGTTAAATATCTTTCCAGATTCGCCATAGTCTTATGTATGTTATGGTATCACTATGTACATATCTCGTATCACTATGTAGATAAATTAAGTAAAAACGATTGTTTTTAAAATGTTTTATATCTTTTTTTTATCTTAAAATAAATCTTATATACAGTATCACAGCCGGAGTATTAGCGCTTGGAGCCGACCCAGAAATAACAAGAATCATGGGGCCGGCGCCTTCTTCCTCCTGACGTCTGCAGGTAATAGAAAACCAATGATTCCACCAACTGAAAACAAGCCATAAATATTAATTAAGAATAATCGTGACAGTATAAAACCGTTCAAACACTAAAATCGTAAATATTAAGCGTACAAAAAACTCAAATTTCAAACGTTGAAACGAATCGTGCAATTTCCGAGTGGATCACAACTCTTGCCAAAGAAACACATGCATTCGAAAAATTTTACCACCAATAGTACCTATATTTTTTATCTTTAGTATTCAATTTAAGACTTAACATCAACAGAACTGTTTTCAGTCAATAGACTATTTAAAGCTTCATCGGGTTCTGCGCTCATGGTAAGACTGAGTATGGACGAACTTGTTAGAAGGTATGGACCTTAGTACAGTCAGTACTTGTATATGAAAAGAAAAATAAGAAACCTTTCCTTTCTTCTGAGTTCAGGTATAGCTATATGTTAGATATGAAAGGTCGATTAGGCTTATCAAAACTCATGGTTTCCGATACTCATTAGAATGAAATACTGCATATTATTAGACTTCACTAACCCAGCTGACCAGAAGCAGTAGGGTAAAGATATAGAAATATTTATTTTATCTTCTTGTTCTTCTATTACAGTCATCACCTCAATAAAAGTAGTAGTTCCGACGGACGGTTTTATATTGAAGGCTTGAAGGCGGAGTCAAAAAGAGTAGGACTAGGAACAAACAACCAGGATGACGACTCACCAAACGTTAGCCCCGCGAATATGTAGAACGACAGCTCGCAATTGGTCACTAACAACTGTTTCAGTATATTGATGCCTAGAACCGAGCTACCGCGACCGACCATTAGTGTAAGACAAACTGCCATCGCTCTGTAAAATCAAAAACAAAGTCGGTAAATATATATATATATATATATATATATATATATATATATATATATATATACAGGGTGTTACAGAAACTGTAACATTTTAAGGCGTGTATAAATATATATTTCTAAATATTCTGACTTTGCCCATATACCTCCGATAATATTGGTAATCAGAGCACAGTCCACCACAACCTCACTGCGGATTAGCAAATTTCAGCATATAGCCCATGCTTTATTCCTAAAGCAGTAGCCTATAACAATAGTTCAGAGTTGTAGGAGCCACACACTGATTGACGTGTCGCGCCAGAGACATCAGTCATATTTATCATAAAACTCATTACATTTTGAGGTCATTTGATAACAGATTTCAAATAGGGATACTCACTTGACGTATGTTGGGAAAATGTCAACGCTGAAGGTCGAGAGGAAGCCAAAGTTAAGGACCCCCGACACAAACGCAATGAACAAGACTAGACTGAGCACCCAATTGGTGCTTAAATTGATGAACAGCCCCGCCACACCCGAGAACAACTGAAAAGAAAAGCTTCTCTCAGTGTCAAGCACGGAAAAGCAAATTTTTTAAGAGAAGAAGGCAAGCGAGCTGGTTGTTCACCTTATGTCAAATGATAACCGCCACATAACATGGCCTCCTGCAACGCACGAACGGTTGCAGATGCGATTGCTAATTGCTTTATTTAAAGGTGCTCACCCTATAAATAAAACAATTAACAATGCAGTCTCCTAAGTTATTGTAACGTCTAGTTTAATTCTTGTCAAATGATGGGTATGTTAAGCAATACCGCCACCCATAGACATCTGTAACACCCGAGAGTTTGTAGATGCGTTGACAAACTTTAAAAAACGTTCATCCCCCCTTATTTACCAGACGAAGCCCTAAGTACAATACTTTCACTTTACGTCGATCTCCTCCGAGGTCGTGGTACTTCCCTGGAAGCCTGCCAACTCATGCAACAGTAGAAGCTGCTGCGTAGCCCTACCACAGTTTAAGTCCGGATAAAGTAGTAGTTCAAACATAACACAGCTACTTAACCAGTTTCCTCTGAAGCCAGCAATCCGTTCGTGCAAAATCCACGGCGTGGTTCTCGGTAATTAGCGATCGTTTGTTGCGAAGAAAATTAGTAGAATCGTTTCACCTGAATAGAAATCAGGAGCGTTCTTCTTCCGCAGCAATTCACGATGGCACTCAGCACGCAGTTCAGTATTGCCAGGAACAAGTTGATGGAGAACACCATAGTCATAGCCGTTTTGTTCAAGCCGCAGTCCGCTGTCTGAAAATCAAAACGCAAAGTCAGTGACTACGCTTTTTAGATATATTATTATTAAAAAAAATATATGTTGTTGTATTTGAAGCTTATTGATTTCTTGATTTTACCCGAATATTATACATGTTAATTGAAACTAGTTTACCCCTACTTTATTTTTAGTGGGACGTTTATTCGTCTTTTTTTTTTGGTCCCGTGATCTTGAACACTGGAAAGGGTTCGAAGCGTCGGGAATTAAAAATCAAAATTGAAACCTGAGAAAATCGGTAAACTAATTTCATTTCAAATATATTTGAAACTTGTAACAAACTGATGAACTTTCATATGAACAAGTGCTAGATCTTATTGACTCGACTGTATTCCTTGTCATCACTATAGTCGCCAAACTGCAATAGTGAATAGTGAATATATTTTATTTTAAAATAATTGGTAAACAATGAATTTATCAACCGCTGAATTTATTACGCCGGCTCTACTCAAATCACTGACTTTTCTTTTCCGAGACCGTAGTAGTATTTTGACAATCAATAAGTTGGTGTAATACTTCTATATTGAAAAAAAGCTATTTGTATTTGATTGAATAAAATATTAAAGAATTGCCCTAGAACTTCTACATGAATGAGATAATAAGATGAATAAGATGGATGAATGAGATGCTAAAGAGAGTTACACTTAATGTACCAGCCGGATAACACTACACACACAGTTAGTGTAGCAACAAACACATTAGTTCGCCCTCGCCTCCGAGCACGGCGAGACCAACACAACGCGTACACAAGGTACACCCGCGTTCCAGGGCGGTTCTCACCGCCCCCAGCCACCGATTAGCAAAAAGCACAGTCGACGGCCATCGGGGTCTAGGTCCGCACCGCTACTTCGATGGCCCTTAGATGACATGCCGTAGTTAAACGCACGCATGAGCACATGCGCGGCCCTACCCACAGCGGAGGACCCAAACTCGTGGGTTCTGGCTAGCCCACCGGTTCTGCGTCAGATGAAGCTTTAATAGTCTCTGGACTGAAAGCACAAACATCAGTTAATACAAGACAAGACAAGACTTAATGTACCTGTTCCGTGGAAGCATCTAAAGAGGTCTGCAGCATCTGGCAAAACGTCAAGTTGTTCTCCCCCCTTTCCATTGACCGCATTATACCGTCAGCCACATAAGGTAACCACATCATGTAGGGGTTCAAGCTGAAAATTTAATTTCCGATTTTTAAAATTATGACATGTGTATAAAGACGGCTTTTGTTTATGCGAACAACGAATGTTTTCAATGTGACTATGGATGCTAGAGTTGAAAACATGTCCAATTTAAACTCACACAAAACTAAAACGCAAACTAAAGAACATAAAATCCGTAAGTAAAAGTAACAGCCTATACATGCCACTGCTGGGCAAAGGCCTCCTCTGTACAGAGATTGTTGGACTTCACATATCTTCGAAATATTTTTTTGTGTTGTCATTTCGAAAATATACAGGTTTCCTCACGATGGTTTCCTTCACCGCGGAGCACGTGATAAGTCAGCACTTAAAATTGACAATTTCATTGGTGCCGCCGGCACCGAGAATCGAACTCGGGTTGCTCTAGTATTTTTAAAAGGCGAGCGCCCGGCCTCTGGGCTATCACCGCTCTATAATCCTTAAGGGGAGATTAAATAAAAATAATTAGACTATTGCCATAATGAAGTTTTATAACAAATAATATAAACAATTTATTTCGAAGATTTGAAATCTCTTTCATCCGATGATAGGTAACGAAACAACCCCAGCTTAAAATAATCGAGGCATTGATGTTTTTACAATAAACATTTAATAAAGCGCTCAAAAGCGCTGGTGCATTAATTTCTGTTCCACAATGATTTTTGATTATTGTCTTGTACAAACAAATATGACCCTCATTATATTTCAGTTATAAAAAGCTTAAACCACTGTACATATATGGGAATATTTTCTAACCATGTCCTATAACTATATATTTAAAATTGTAAAGAACTGGGTCTAGAACCAGAATTTATTTATTTTCGTTTAATACGTTTAATATTACTGATTTTTTTTGTATATTCATCAACAAAAATAATGTTTGCCTTTCAAAGCTCATATTAATATGTTAAGTACTACATATTGTTTAACCCAATTAATCAATTAATTAGTGTTTACACAAATAATCGTAATTGTTGGTTGCTGCGCACTCACGAATTTACGAATAAATACTTCCACATCAGAGTAGAAATAATTAGACTCCGCGTGAAATTTATGTTTGTAAAACGCAGGATACCGAACAGATAACCTTACAACACAGGATAATGTTATCCTAAGGTAAGGGCAATGTTTCTTTTATTAAAAAAACAAAAAAAAAACGAAAAACCCAATTGATATCGGAATCCAAGGACTGAACAAGTATTTATATCACATCTTTCGGATCTTTTTATCAGGTCAGAAGGTCAATTGAATGATATTGTAACACATACTGCACGCATTAAATTCTAAGAGTAATGTGAACTTCTTACCAAAAATATACTAAGACAAACAACAGTGAGAGAAGTAAGGTATTCCGTAATAAAGGGGGCTTAAGTAATGGCACCGTTTGAGAGACAATTGATGACCAAATGCCCTGAACTTTATTTGCAACACTCTCCTCATCTAAAGACACCGATTTCACCTGCAACAAATCATTTATGCACCATTTTAGTATAAATTCGGTCCTCAATTAGTATAAGTCCCTACAAGTATTTCAGTGCCATGCTTAACTTATATATTACTAGTTTTGACCCGCGGCTTCACTCGCGTTGAAGCCCTGAATTAATATATTTTTTATTTACTTTTTCATGTTCTTTTTAATACCTCTAAGAATATGTGTACAAAGTTTCATGATAATCGGTTGAGTTGTTCAGGGGTGAAAGCGTAACAAACAAACTTACATTCATATTTATTAACTAGCGACCCGCCTCGACTTCGCACGGGTGCAATGTATTATATATACATATATAAACCTTCCTCCTGAATCACTCTATCTATTTAACAAAAACCACATCAAGATCCGTTGCGTAGTTTTAAAGATCTAAGCATACATAGGGACAGACGGACAGCGAGACAACTTTGTTTTATACTATGTAGTGAAGATACAGTGGGGATAAATAACTATGTTATCCTTCAAACATGTAGATAATTGACAAATGATTTTTTATAAATTACCATTATACCAAATTTAGACTAGAAGCAAATTTGGAACGTCAAGATTTTTGTGAACCTGACCTCGAATATTACGTTATGAAACGTGGTTGATATGTTAGAAGATATCAGGAATTACCAACTTGAAGAACTATCGTGTTAAACAGATTCGTTTTGAACATTGCATAACCATGATAATTTTTTGTATTTACGGAATTACACCAAAAGAAACTATTTTTGCGGATTTATCGCGTTTTATTTCCATTTTTCGGATTTATTACGTTTTATTTATTTTATTGTTTTTTCCGCAGTTTTCTCCCAAGGATGATTCGTGAGGATATTGAAATACAAAAAAAATATTTTAATATAGAAGAAGGTTTGGTGCTACCATCAGGTTGGGATCCAACCAACAATATAATTAAATATTGGCCCAAACGAACCACTACTGCAAGACAAGATACAATTAGCAAGTTCTGCGTAGATCGGACACAAAATTAAATAACTTATAAACTGGACGGTACCCTGACTAACCATGACATTCCGACATCCAACGCCTTGGTCAAAGAACCATGAACTGAAAAGGCTTAATATATAATAATAAAACGTGAACTAAAAATAAACACTATAAATGCGTAATAATAGTTTCATTTCGTATTACATAAGCATTTTAATGTTTACGTATAACTGATAACAGACGCCGGTAATATAATCAAACAAACGTTGTTTGCACAAGAATATAATATGATTTCTTTAAGTAATAACGCGTTATCACAATACGCAATAACATACCTAGTAGTTTTATTAGGTTTTTAGAATTCGCGTAAGTTTAGGAGATCATCTCGAGACCTTTAATTATGTGTCTTTTATATCTTATCCTTTAAACGAGCAAATCGGAATGTCGGAAACGGCTCCAGCGATTTTCATGAAATTTAGCATGTGCGCAGATTCGGGGGCGAAAAATCGATCTAGCTAGGTTTAATTTTTAGAAAATGTCCTTTTATCCCTGTTTTTAGGGAATGAAAAATATCATTCGAATATGACGGTAAATTTCGCCGTAAAAAAAATGTTATAATAGCTCGGTCGGTAATTGGGCGGCCCCAAAACAGACGGCCGCGGTTCGTATCACGATCATTTACACAATTATTTTACTCTTTTTTTCCATATCAGATAATTTTCTTTATTTTTTATTTTTTTTTTATTTCCAAAATACATGATTTACCAAAACCGAGCAAAGCTCTGCGTAGATCGGACACAAAATTAAATAACAAAGCTCGGTCCTCCAGGTACTATGCTTAAAGTGTGTGTCGACTAATGAAAGTTAATATAATGCAACAATCCTTGTCAATGTAGCGTGGATTCTCTGAATCGTTATCAGTATAATTAGAAGCCATGTGCACTATTACGTTATTAGGACAAGGTTTAGCCTCTATCTGATAATTTTGTAGCTAGTTTTATGTAAGTTATAGCACATTTTAAGAAGTCAACTAATTTTAATACCCTTATTTTAAGGTCATCCAATATTTTCATATTTAGTCTGGTGTGCAATTTTCATACACATAAGAAGCAACTGATGACAGACGTTTTCTGATCTGGGCGTATTAAGTTCTAGCTGTGCCCACGACTTCGTTTGCGTGGAATTTAAAATAAATGAAACTTCTACAATAAAAGTGGCTTCAGTTACTCCTTATTACATTAGCTGTCTACCAGGGAAAGTCTCGTCGAAATTGGTCCAGCCGTTTCAGAGATTAGCCGGAACAAACAGAAAGACAGATGGACGAAAGTTGTAAAAAGAATGTTATTTTATTATATGGTATACACGGTGTATATATCACACACATATGCATTTAGTAAAATGCGGTTATTTTAATATTACAAACAGACACTCCAATTTTATTTATCTGTATAGATGTATAAAAGATGAGCGATATATATATATATATCGCTATAATTGATCAGTTCGTTTCTCCTTTCATTGTTACGGATGGAAATAAAGTTCACTTCTACTAACCTTAAACTCCTTTTCTTCTCCATGGTTAATAGCATAAATCCTTCTTAATACTTGCAACGCTTTATCTTCTTTCCCAACGCTAAGGAAATACTTCGGACTCTCGTGGGATAACAGCAACCCCAATGCACCCAAAGCACATGGAAGACTGTAGATGATGTTTAACAGCCGCCAGGAGTTGAAATGGATGTTCAGATATGGAATATAATATGAGAACTTCAGAGGAAGGATGGGTATGGAGATAACTGGAAAGAAACAAATTTTTGTTACCCTTGCTTTAACATAAGTTTTAACATGAATTAATTCAACCCACAACCAGACTACGTAGAATTACTAATTCTTTTATGGGGAATATGTCTACGGGTAATTAAAAAGGTATTGAAGAACAATATTTCCTATTTAATTCCCAATCCTTTTGTTCCCAATTCTGTTCATCGTTGCTGTTTATGTGAAAAGTTATCAAGCGACGAGTGGTATACCTGATGTTAAATTAATACATATACAACACCTGATGGTTTGCCGATGCCGTGTCAACCTTTATAAATGTAAGCGCTGGTTACCTTATTAAACAAACGTGAAGGTTTAATACTTCCACTTCACGCTGGATTCCTATAAGACCGTGGTGCTTCCCTGAAGGAGCCTGCCCATTCGTGTAGCAACAGAAACTTGATTATAAATCATCATATTTGCCAGGCAAGAGCCTGCCCATATATCGGCTCGATATTTAACACCTGGCTAATATAAGAACTCACATACAATCGTTAATCATAGCATCATGTAATTCAAATTGCAACTCAAAATATCTTTATTCAAATAGACGCTTGCGCGTTCTTATAAAATGTTAGCTTTCATGGGTTGAAAAATCAAAGACAAGCTCGGGAATTAATGAGAACGTGAGCTTCTTGGAAGGATTAAGTCTTCTTCTTTACAATATATTTTCATCGATAAAAAATTTTAAATTGCCTCGAAAGTTCATTTTATAGGTCATATATAATTTAGGACTTTGTTGTTCATTACAACTTTAACTTGACCCATTCAAACCACAATCACAATATTTTTGTCCTACCCAAGTGTCAGGTTGGGAAGTCTAGATTCAGCACCGTCTATAAGACTGAGAATCTACTGGGATGGCATGCCATAAATTGCATATACACTTACCAGCCATGAGCCCAGTGCTTGCAAGAAAAATGCTGCTCGTAAGGGCTATCAATGTGAATCGGTTTCTCTCTGGCGTGCACTCACTGAGTAGGGCAAGTGCTAAAGCATACGTGCCCGCAACTCTGTAGATAACAATAAATATCCTTAGAAATCGATGTTTGCTATTTTATCATCAATTGGAAGACAAAATACGAGATGCCTGGAAGCGGGTAAAATGAGGACTTTTAACAATGTTACTCGCGATATATCAAGGCCATCAAGCCATGACTTCAACTTCAATTTGTAATAACAAAATTCTGAGAAACTAAAAAAGTAAAGTAAAAGCCTATAATTATATATAAGTATAAGCCTATAAATTATATTGCAGGGCAAAGGCCTCCAATGTATAGAGGGTATTAGAGTGTAGTCCACCACGCGAACCCACTGCGGACTTCACATATCTTCGAAATACTTCATTCTTTGTTATTATTTCTAAAATGTGCAGATTTCTAAAAATTGTGTAATAAATCGTTATTGTCTATAAACATCAGACACGTACCCACATGAAGATGCGAACTTCAGCAGCGTAAATACAATCCAATTGGGTGACAATGTAGCGAGGGCACCAGTGCAGAAGCCGAGAGACAGGCACCAGCAAAGAATGCGCCTTCTGCCCTTCGTGTCAGCCATATAACCCCAAAAATGGGACGAAACAATAATACCTGAAATTGATGACGTCCACATTTTCATAAAAAACTAATAGAAAACAAAGAACTAAAGACAAGAAGAACTGAGATGGTAAAACTATCGGGTGCAATAATAAGCTCGGTGGTGAAGTTGCTAATCTATTACTGGGGGTCCGTCTAGGAGGGTTATTTGACAATCAACAAGTGAGTTTGAATTTGAATTTGGTCATGCGAGTCCAAAACGGGATCTCGCCGCAACCCCGCAAACAATTGTTCTGGATCTGGTCTGTTGGATCTGCTGATTTGTTCCCGGGGAGGGTTGACGTTAGACAGGCTTAGACTAGTCATAAAAAAATTTTACAATACCGTTAACAACATGATTTACACGTTGTGCTAACTCCACCTGAGAGCGATAAGGCCAAGAAGAAAACAAAGTAACACTACCTTCAGCTTGTGCTTTAAGGTAGCTCTCTCTCTTCTTGCTCGGTCCCTCAATGCTGACGATAGTGACACAAGATGTTCTCAAAATTCTTTCTTAAGGTAGCTACGTGTTTTTAAATATGTTCTATAACATTGTCCGCCCCACACTCACCAAACATGGGGGTTCCTGCCATCATTCCCTGCTGTGAACTGACTGTCTCAAGCTCGCACGCGCTCGCCGGCACCAAGTACGAAACCGAGAATATTTCGAACGCCATACCCATTATTATGGCCCCATTAAGCGCCAGCATTAAGTAATTGAATTTGCCGAACCCTGAAAAAATATAACAAATAATTAAGTCAGCACTTTGTTGGAAACTTATCGTAATGAAAAGAGTGTGGTTAACCGTTTGTATCCAGCGTTAAACTTCGATTCGAAGATCTTTTATGACGAGTAATTTACTCTTGAGTTAAGTCGTAAGTAAAATTTGAAATCAGTTTTGCTGATGACACGTGATCTCCAACGCATGCAAGTAAACGTATCTCCAGGCCAGAGGATGACCAGACCCTTCGGGCCTGCCACTCTGACAAGTATTCTTGTGGCCCTTGAAACGGGTGCTCTGAATTTACCTTCTCACCAAAAATGATGGTGAATATAATATTTTCCTTGGCCCTTTTTCTTTTACAACATAAAACCTGGTTCTTTCCCAGGTAAGTCCATTCATCCATCGTGGCCAACCCCAATGATATAAAAAACCTGTCAGGAATTCATAGTTATGGTCAAAGTCCCGAAAACTTGAAATCGATTTTTCTCAGCATCGTGTTAATTGGTACAATTAATAAGAAATTTATTTTCTTATACAACACCGACTTCAAACATTCACTTTGTTATCGGTGGTAGAGCCACGCAGCAGCCTGTTGCACGAATGGGCAGGCTCGTCCTGGTAAGTACCACGATCTCACAGAAGACCGGCGTAAAGTGGAAGTATATTACTTTCGCGTTTCGTCTGGTGAATGAGGTAGGCGGACCCCAATTTCCAAAAAGATTGTCTACTCATCTGCATACCATCGGGTGTAGCAGATGTCCATGGGCGGCGGTATTCACTTAACATCAGGTGAACAGTCTGCTCGTTTGGCAACTTTTCACATAAAAAAAGACTTCGAACATATGTGAACGATAGAAATCCCAATTCAACACTCTCACACACGCATTTTCATCGGAATGATGAAACACATCAAATTTTATCTTCACGTGTCAGTTTGACTGACATAAAACTTATAATCATCTTTGGAACAACATTTTAAGAATTAATTATCTCTAAGCAAATATTTTATTACTGTATATTGTGAGGAACGCGCGCACAACCAAAACGTTGATAGATAATGTCAAGGTGACGTCAACAAACGATGCCAAACTTGCCAAAAACCACTTTGATCAGCGATCGTCTTGCCTGGGAAAACCTGACCAATTTTATACCGCGAATATTTTAAAAACAGAATGCAGTAAAGCATTTTAAAATAAATGTTCTTGGCAATCTTTCTCTTCAAAAACTGTGTCTACAACAAGCATACATCAAAGGTTACTTGAATAAACCTTAATTAGTTCCATAACATGTTCCACAGTACAAAACTCGTTTTAAAGACGTTAAAAGTATGATATTGTTTATAATACACGGTGATATTGTTTTTCGCTTTTATCTTGCGTGCTCTGCGTGGTTAAATTACAGTGTAGAAACTAAATCATCTATGTAATTTTAAGGAATCGTATTTCGCAAGTTGTTGTGATCTGTATAAGTTACGATGGGGTTGGCGCATCTTTATAGATAAAAACCCCATAAAAATAAATATTATAAAAAAAACTGTAAATCATAAATTTACTGTTACATATCAGACGAAAATAACTCCCGTTAAAATATCACTGCCAACCAATCAGGAAGTATTGATGGCGCCGATTAGTAAGAGAAATCTCGTATGGATATTAATGAGTTCTTTGCAAATTATTAATAACTAATTGGGTACAAGCTTGTAAAAAATTTGCCTCTTTATTTATGCAAGTATTCACAGCCAAGCCTTTTTAATGTGTTTTTTCTTCCTTTATAAGAGTAACTTGTTTAAATTCGTAACATTGGCAGATATAGATTCTATATTGATTCACGCACTATCTCTTTGAGAGGCCACAATTTAGTAAGAACTATCTGAAACCCGCGACTTTTTCTATGTTGCATATTATATTAACAACTACACCGCTTGTCCCACTTCTCCACGGTAAGAAAAGACACATCACTGAACACGTAGTGCTTATAAAATTCGTTATTTCTTAAAACTTTACTAACATTACATTAAATTAAGGTTTCAAAATACGTTATTTTTAGATAAGAGACCAGTATGAAGTTAGAAATAAAGGTAAAATGAATTAATTGAAATCTATCCAGCAGTTATTCCGTGATTCGCGCACGACGTCAGACCTCTACCAGTTTATTTAAATAAATAAATAAATATCAATGACAACATACCCGTCATATTCAGGGCGTCCTCGAATGATACCTTTTCCCCTTTCACAACCCCCATTTTTGAGTAACGCGCGAAAATACTGTTATTAATATCCGACTCTTATCTACATATTATTAGCGAACGCGCATCATTACTACGAGAAAATTGTATAACGCCGTTTATATATATACGACTAGTGTAGGAATAGTGTTGCCCGCATTAACTTAAATAATATCGATAAAAAATTAATGTATTATTTACCTCACAGAAATATAAGAACTGACAAGAAAAAGGGTGCAAGATATATATTAACTTACTGATGTAAATTGCAATATTTAGGTCGCTAAGCTAAAAAATACAGCTTCTGCATTAATTTCCCCATACGCCTTCTACATTTAATCAGTTTAGTTTTCACTTTAAAACCATTTTCCTGAATAACCTGTCGAAGTTATCGCCTTATTGGAAATGGTCGATCCAATAACTAAGGAGGCAGGGCAGTTGGTTAAATTTCAAGGACTCTCCGATCTTCAATGACGATTGTACTCGAGATGTGATGAAATGTGAATTAATTTTTATATGAATATAGTGGCAAGACCAAGCGCAATACCTGATGGTAGACGTGAGCTTGGCTTTCTTCTTCCTCTTTGTTATTTCTAAACAATAGATACTGCAAATATGTCATCATCATCATCAAAATTTTAGAGACTAAGTGTGACTTACTGCCTACTTACCTACGTTATTAAATACCTGAAACTGTTTAAAGAAAAGTTAAGCTATTTATTAAAGCATTTACATTTATTCCGTGACTTAGAATTAAGTCTAAATTTAATTAAATTGAATTTAAAATGTACGAGATTTTAAGAGATATCTCATCGTGTAAGATAATACGGATATCCATATAGACCAGATTTAAATACATAATAAGCTTTTCGTTATTGAATTAAATACTGTTTCCGACTCCATAAGAAATGTTACTTTCAACAAGAATTTTTTTTTATAAGGTTATTGATAATATGAGCCAACTTACGCTTGCCAATGCAAAATATGTTGGAGTAACATAAAATATAATAATGTAATAATTCTGATAATCATTTCTGTCGATGGAAGGTCTATCGAACCGCTTTTCGAGTCTAAATAAAAGAGTAAAATAATTTTACGTCCGTATATTTTAATAGTCTTCTAGAAAGCGTTGTCATCCGCCTTTCTTTTCTTTTGTCTTTCATCTTAATGAAATGTATATTATTTGTCATCCATCACGGTGCTAGTCATATTACATCTTCATAAAAGTTGTATGGTCGCAAAGAGGATAGATGGCCGCAACAATCGACAAAGTTTCACTATCGCACTTTTCAATCTCTAACATCTGAGAGTAATAAATCGTCAAATCACGAAGACTTTGTTATCTTTACGCTTTACATTTGACTTTACGCTTTACATTGACATTAAAGGCGACGGGGACGACTTTTCGTCAAATAAATACGAAAACGTACCGTCATTCAGATTTATTAATCGAAATATATGAAAATATTTTTCCTTGTTATTAGACTTATAAAATCTCTTGTGCTTTTTCATGCGTACGGCCATGTCACCCCGTATATAAAAATGGGACGTAACAATAATACCATTCATAACGAATTAAACCTGATGCTTTGTATCAATATTATTATGTAAAATTGGCCAAACCCAAAATCTGAAATGCCCATAATCCGAAAAATACATTAATACTCACGCTAAGGAGATTAAAAATCTTCGATAACGGATTTAGCATGGACGTCCCCAGCCACTAAGCCACCGCCTATATAGGCTAGGTTAATCACCTGTACCGCGGACCGGGTTATATACAAAAGTACAAACCTGTAAGAACTTTTGCATTGGCAAGTATCAGCGTAATATCTGTTGACCACGGTGATAGTTTACAATCAAGTGCTTGTCCGGTTGCCATTTTTTCTTTGAGAAGAGTTCTTTCGAAATCTGCACACCATTAAAACAGACATTTTGTAACGACGGAACAGAAAATGTTTTCATAAATTGGATACGTGTAGTAATAAGAACCGTTAATATTAAACTCGTTACAGTGGAGAAGTTTTTTAGATAACATGATAAGTTAAGAAAGATAAGTTTTAGCTTAAGAAGAAATAAAGAATGTTATTCTTCTTCTTGTGACGATTTTAAATGTAACAAGTTAATGCCAGTTTGCACATCCATACTAATATTATAAATGCGAAAGTAAAGGCCCATTTACACGATGCCATTTTCTTGTACATACAAGAGCAATAATTGAATGCAATAAATTGCGCGCAATAATTGTTAAGACCATTTGTTGTTTAGACCATGCAACTCATTTATTACTTCAATTTAATTGTATACAACAGGCAAGAAACTGGCACCGTGTAAATGGGGCTTAACTCTAAGAATTTTGGTACACAGATAGTCTAGAGCCTGTGAAAGGACATAGGCTATTTTTTAATTGTAAAAAACTTGAAAATATATATATTTAGCTTTGAATCCCTCAAATAAATATAGAGACATATTTATTTAAGGGGTTCAACGCGAGCGAAGCCGCGGGCGAAAAGCTAGTCGTTGATAATTGAAATGAATAAAAGAGGCTCTAAAGTTGATCCTTGTGGGACACCACTAGGATGTAATTGGTACGTTGTACAAGGTTTTGAAAAAAAACGCGATATAATCCAATCCAAATTAAATGGATATTTTGAAGTTATCGTTAGGTTTTTGTGGAAAATATTATTTTAATCATGAGGAACACCATGATCATTCCTCCTGTCCTTAACACAGTTCGGAAGGGTGAGCACACGTGAATCCTGTTTTAGTTGTATTGGTTAGGTTCTTTTACGACCGGCGGCGGCTATCCGGTTACAATCACCCGAACCCGAATCAATAAACACAGCGACTTCAAACGTATGTTCAATATTCAAGCTATTATACTATAACTGTATTCGGATTATTTTATTATATTTCCAAAGATAGCCACGGGGCAAGTGCAGCTGTTTTGGACGTACAAACAAAAAATACATGAAGTTACGTACTGTTTGCATGTTCGTCTAAAAAAGCTGCACTTACTATACTACTATTTCGATTATGTTCTCGAAAATTATTGGCTATTGCAGAAGCATACTTCTATTAAATTTAAAACAAATTCTTCGTATTCACTAACTCTAAAAGTGCTTTACAACATCTGGATCGGTGTAGTTATATGACTAGAGGCATTCCATTAGCATACGATAAAGGTATTTTAAACTCTTTATATTTACTACTCACAGAAGACTGGCGTAAAGTGGGAGTATAATACTTTCACGTTTCGTCTGGTGGGTGAGATGGCCGGAGCCCAATTTTCAAAAGGTTGTCAACGCATCTGGAACCCTTGAGTGTAGCAGATGTCCATGGGCGGTGGTATTCACTTAACATCAGTTGAACCGTCTCTCACTTGGCAACTTTACACACAAAAAAAAAAACCAAATGTTAGTAGCAGGGTGATAGTACATCGTACACCTTCCCACATTTGTATTGCAGGCAATGTTGCAGTAGATACGCTGCCTAAGAATGCTTCGTTGCAAGGTGGTTTATCTTGAATATTTTTTTTTCTATTCCAACCTTTTGAATAAAGTTAAGGAGCTTTGGCCAGAATACTTTGTTTTTTTTTTTATATAAAAGATCGCCCACAAAAGGTATTTGGTACCATACAACCAATCTTAACTCGAGTGCCGTGTTTTGATAAAAAATGTGGAAAGTCTTGACATTATAACGAATTTCAGATTGCGCTAAGGACATATCCCATTGAATCAATTTATATTTATGATGGGAAGCAACTTCACCCAATTGTTCCGGATGCAAGCATATACCACATTTTGATCGAGTGACCCTATAAGGTACAAATATTTCTGTCTTGAAATAATTTAATTTCGTTTAATGTCGGCTGGTGTAACATTGTTGTGTTTATCCCGCATTCAACGTAACCAGGTAAGTTAATACCAGCTGACAAAAGTAGGAATTAAGAAACTTGTAATTACTTCTTGATGTGGCGTGTAATTAAGTGTAACAATTTTGTATATTGATCGCGTTATTTAATATTGTATTTTGTTGTTATTATGAGGTTAATTCTTCAAATGTGAACTGTCCCCAAACAAAGATAAAACGCAATGCAATTATAAAATACAATGTCGCAAAAGTCCATGAGTGGTAGTGATCGCTTACCATCAGGTGACCCGCTTTAGCGTTTGTGGGAATCGAACCCACGACCCGCGACGCCGAAGCCAATACCTTGGCGACCTCGCAACTGAGTCACCATTTACTCGATAAAATATTTTCTCAATTAATAATATTAATGTCAGAGATGTCACTATTGATTACCAAGACACTTTTGCTGCTTCTCATTAAAGGGGCTGGGGCGGCATCGGAACCAGCTGAAGTAAATGGCGCAAATATGAGTCTCTGTGTTCAGAATATTTATTCGTGTCATTTTCTGTTGCAACTTTAGATTCGTGGGGTTCGCGTACATCGAAGTTTTTAACTAAATAAATCTACTACCTATCTTATTTTAAGGGTTCCGTAACTTAAAAGTTAAAAAAAGGAACTCTTAAGATCACTCTCTTGTCCGTCTATCTATACGCGGAAAATTTATACTTTCCAAAAGTAAAAAAGTACCAAAATTTAATACTTATATTTTTAATAAATATAAATTTACCCATATCTTTTTATCGTGTTGACTCAGGGCCTTGATTTTTATACACCTAAGAGGGTCCCTCTTCATCATCTCGTCCTCTCATCAGGACCTCAGTATCTGGTATAAATTTAAACTTGCTAGGTCCACCCGTTCTTAAGAAAATCGATGGTGATTATTCACCAATTCTATTATGGCGGTATAATAGGTAGGTACGGAACCTTCAGCGTACGAGTTCGACTCACACTTGACCGGTGGTTCTTAATTTTTTTTTATCTACCAAAAATTTATTTTAGTTTATTTACAACGTCGCTAAAGACGCCACAGAGCGGGATATTGCCGAATATGTATATGAGAAAACACATATACATATACTGCCGGAGAGAGTGAAGAATAATAATAA